AGCCAGCTGGGTGACCTTGGGTCAGTCACAGTTCTCTCCGAGCTGTTCTCTCAAGAGCAGTTATTGAGAGAGCTCTCTCAGCCCCACCTACTTCACAGGATGTCTGTTGTGGGGAGGGGAAGGGAAAGGGATTGTAAGCCACTCTGAGACTCCGAGTGAAGGGCGGGATATAAATCCAACTCTTCTTCTGGGCAGCTAAAAACCCCATATGTAAGGCTTGAGGAAGTCTGTTGTCTGTTTCATTGTATCTGAAGAAGTGTGCGTGCACAAGAAAGTTTATACTCAGAATTAAACTTTGTGGTCTTAAAGGTGCCACTGGACTCAGACTTTGTTCTGTTACAGACCAACACAGCTACCCTCCTGAATTTTGCTTATTTTGCATAATTGATTTTGCTGGTTATAGGGGAAAGGCACAGAGCTATCCGTAGTACTGATTCCCTTTTCTCTGAATTGTCCTCTCGTTTCCTAAGTTTCAGGGGAAATACTGATATAAAATCATTGGCTTCCCGTCACAAAGATATGCAATTTGGTGACAGGATTCAGAATTCCCCTTAATACCGTCACGATCACACTGTGAAACTGCTTTGGTTTTTGAAACAATGCTTGATTCTGCGTCCAGTACCGAATTCCAGCTTGTGGATTTATGGGATATATAAAAGTCTGTGTATTGATAAAACACTTAGTGCTAATTTATTATACTTCTGTGATTTGGGTTTTCAGTTTTTTATAAACTGCTTTGGCAAGTAGGAAGATGAAAGGGGAGACAAGATGGAAGGGAGAGAGTGGGAGACTGTATTTCAACTACGTTGGGACATTTTAATCAGACATGCATGCGCACACACTCACCCATGGAGTTCTCAGGGCGGCTTACAATATTAAATACACAATGAAGCCAAAATGAGTCCCACTCATACAGTCTCTCTTATATATAAATCTCATTTCGTGTGAGTCCTCGAACACGCTCCCACAGGCTTTGGCCAGGAGACCTGTTAATCACAAGGTCTCGCCATCCATTGGTGGCTGCATTGGCAGGGTCTCGCCATCCATTGGTGACTGCGTGCCCATGTGTTGTCAACGTCCCGCCTACCCTCTGAGAGAACCACCGACCAGCCTTTCCACCTCAGTAAGCTGCGAGGTGGCGGAGGCGGCGCACACTCCGGTGGCCAAAAAGGCTTGCTCGCCCAGTGCCCTGCCTTCTCGCCTCCTTCTCCGCCACCCTGGCGGCTCTTCTGGCCTCCGCAGCATGCCGCCTGCTGCCCTGACGCCGGCCTCTGCTGCTTCGCCCGGACCCATGCTCCTCCGCCCCCCCTCACTCCGCCTCTGTCAGGGGCCGTGGGCCGGCTCTGGTGATGGTGCGGCCTCTAGGTAGCCTTCTGTCCCAATGCCTGTGGCTCCCGGCGGGGACCGGCGCACACCCGGCCCCGCGCTCCTCCGCGCCTCCAGGTGGGTCAGGGGCCGCGGGTTGCCTCGTGCTCCGCCGGGGCTCCGGGAGGGGGGGAACATGCCTCCTTCACGACGCCATGCTCACCCAGTGCCTCTGCTAGAAGCTCGTTGCATTTCAGGCCACAATGGGCCTTCCTCCTAGTGACAAAATATAGGACAAAAAGGCAAATAAGTAACTTAAAAGAATTACAGACCAGTGGCTAAATGGATAGCCCAGGCTGGACCAACTTTGCCAGATCCCAGAAGCTAAGCAGGGTCAGCTGCAGTTAGTACTTGGATGGGAGACCACCGCAGAAGTCCAGGGTGGCTACACAGAGGCAGGCCATGGCGAACCCTCTCTGAATGTCTGTTGCCTTGAAAACCCCATGGGGGGGTCATCATAGGTCAGATGTGACTTGATGGCAAAAAACACAAACATGGGGGGAAAAAACCCCAAAAAACTAAACGTCAGCAGTAAAAAAATCAAGTAGCAAAAGAAGAGAAATGCCATCAAAGGCCTGGATAAATAAAAACTTTTTCACCATGTCCCAAAAACTCAGCACCATAGGCCACAGGAAGAGAGTTCGATAAATGAGGTGCCCCCACAGAGAAGGCCCCGAGGCACAGACAGGGGTATGGAGAAGATCTAATAGAGCGAACTCATCTCAACTGTTCTTTTTTGTTTTCCTTTTCAGTGCTGAGCCTGATGTTCTTCTGCATATACTGGGGACAGTACGCAAGCGACGGTATCGGTAACGGCAGCCTCAAGATCCTGGGTAGGTGTCAGCAGAAATCTTACACCTCTGACGGGTGCCATTTTGTCTAGTAGCAGGGGTCATTTCCTGCAGGAGCGCACAGGAGTGGAGCTCCGGCAGTAAAGAGCCCAGGGGGCGGGCACAGGCAACAAGCCCCGCCCCCTGCTCCCAGCAGCCCTCAGTCAGAGCAAGAAGCACGCCCGGTAAGCTGCACAGCCCCCCCCCCCCGGCCCCCTGGTCCAAAACAGTCCAGTGGCGCCTTTAAGACCGAGTTTTATTCAGGTACAAGCTCTCCCTCCTCTGCAAGGACAGATCTGCACGTCCCGTCCCCCCCACAATAGCTAGCAATCCAAAACAGTCCAGAGGAGCCTGAGCGGTGGGTGTTGTCTTCTGACGCACATCCGGTGATGTCAGTGGGTATGGCATATGCAAATGAGTTATGCTAATGAGTTATCCTAATGAGCTCCTGTGCCTCTTTTTCTACGAAACAACCTCTGTCTAGTAGCATAGTGTAGTGTGGTTTAGAGTGCCTTGTGGATTGGTAGAGTGGTTAGACATGTGGGGGCCCTCCCATTTTATCCTCACGACAGCTTTGTTGGGAGGGAGCCTGGCGGCTGTCTCTCAGCCTAACCTAAGTTAGTAACCTAAACTTCTAAGTGCACCCATTAAAGTTTTACGTCTGAATAGGAATTTGGGCCCAATTCTGGTTAGTCCAGGTGGCTCAGAGGTTAAGATGCTGAAGCTGCAAGACCAGAAGGTCTGTAGCTCGGCAATTCGAGACCCGAGTGCCGCATGATGGAGTGAGCTCCCGTCTCTGGCCCTGGCTCCTGCCAACCTAGCAGTTCGAAAGCAAGAAACTGCAAGCAGATAAATAGGTACCCCTTCGGTGGGAAGGGAACAGTGTTCCGTGCGCCTCGCTGTTCAGTCGTGCTGGCCACGTGAACACGGAAAACGTCTTCGGACAGCGCTGGCTCTTCGGCCTGGAAACGGAGATGAGCACTTCCCCTTAGAGTCGGATTTGACTGGCTTTCGAGCAAGTGACACCTTTACTGCTTAGTCCAGATCTGGAGGTCCAAGTGCTAAACAATACTAACCTAGTAAAACGTACAAGCTGAGACTCTGCTAGGCCTACGGTTGCCAGATCCAGGCTGGGAAGCTCCTGGAGATTTGGGGATGGAACCTGGGGAGGACAGGGACCTCAGAGTGATCTCTATAGACTGCAGATTGGTTGTAATTCTGGGGTGATTCCCAGGTCCCCCCTGGAGACTGGCATTCTTTCAAGGTCTGCCACAGACTTTAAACCCATAGCCCCAGCTGAGCATGGCATTCTGTTCCAAGCATCCTACTTAAACTTACGGTGCAAACTTTAGCAGAGTTAAGCCCTTTCTAAATCCCTTGCAGTCCATCAGATTAGAAGTTTAGGATGGCACCGTTCACCACAGTTGGGGGGGTTTGTCAGTATATCCTGCAGTATATCCTGCAGAGAGCCAGTTTGGTGTAGTGGTTAAGTGAGTGGACTCTAATCTGGGAGAACCGGGTTTGATTCCCCACTCCTCCACTTGCACCTGCTGGATGACCTTGGGCAAGCCGTAGTTCTGACACAGCTGTTCTTGAAAAAGAGCACTTTCTGTCAAGAGCTCTCTGAGCCCCACCTACCTCACAGGGTGTCTGTTGTGGGGAGGGGGAGGGAAAGAAGATTGTAAACCGCTCCGAGACACCTTTGGGTAGTGAAGGGTGGGGTATAAATCCAATCTCTTCTTCTTCTTTATTTCCCCCAACTGTTTGGGAAGAAATCAGTGGGTTTCAATGGCCATTCCATGTCACTCTTTTTAGTACGTCCTCCTCTCCCTCCATGGGTGCAGAATGTCCTGCGCACTGCAGGCCCATAGACCATCATCCCTTAACTGAGAAGGACCCAATCTCTAGACCAGGGGTGTCGAACTCATTTGTTATGAGGGCTGGATCTGACATAAATGAGAACCTTGCTGGGCTGGGCCACGTGTGTCATAAAATGTAATGCCAGGTAGCGGAGAGATAAACTTTATAAAGGACACAAACACAAAGATTTTTTTTAAAACTTAAAATAAAAACATCAGCTCTGTAAACGGCAAACCCACTTTTGATTTATTGACATTCACCCCAGAAATCTCATGCTCGGAGTTCTGAGTCTAGCACCCAGGATAAAACATGAAATGGCTGAGTGATTTAAGAGAGCCTGGTGAAGCAAATGATGATGCAGCAGCAGCAGCAGCAGAACTGGAAGCAGGAGACGGCCAGTTCCACTGCGGGCCTGATCCGGCCCCCGGGCCGCATGTTTGACACCCCTGCTCTAGACTCATCCCTCTTCTCTCTCTGTCTCTCTCTCTCTCTCTCTAGCCAAGCTCCTCTTCTCCGTCAGTTTCCTGATCTTCCTCCTGATGCTCATCCTGCTTGGAAAGGGATTTACAGTCACCAGGTACCCGCACAGCTGAAAGGGGGACGGATCATTTGATGGGATGTAGCTTTCCTTTGCTGCGAACTGCTTGGCTGTAGAGTATGCTGACCGAGAGAAACCTGGTCTGTAGTAGAAGGGCCAGCTGGGTGTTACATTCAAGTTTGTGGCATTTTTAAAGTGAAAAAGCAGCTTCGGGAGAGGGGAATTTCAAGCGGAGAAGGGGCAGGAAAGCAGTGTGTACAGAACTCTTTCCTTCCCACTGTTTCTCTGCTGCCAGTCACTCCCTGGCAACTCCCCAGGCCTGTAGCCACCGTGGGGTTTTGGGGGGCTCTGCCCCACAATATTTCTCCAGTCAATGCTTTCCCCCCAATAATTTTTAAACATTTTTAAAAGGCGTGCGCTCCTTTAAGCAGAGTGGGGTGCTGTAGTTGACTAATTCCTGCGCTGAGCGAGGGGGTTGGAGTAGGTGACCTCTAGGGTCCCTTCTAACTCTGTGTC